AGGGTGGGTGGGGGTGGGAGGTGGAGGCAGAGGAGCCTGCCTGGAGCTTAAGGGGAGGGACGGTTCAGGGCTATGACCGCTGTGGGGAGGGACTTATTAACTTGGGGTGGGCTCTGCGTGGGGGAGACGACCCAGTTCACCCTCCATTGTGTCGCTCTGGGGAAAGGGGGTTGGAGAGGGACCAAGGACAGAAGATGATGGGGAAGAGCAACTAGATCTCCCCCTCCCACTCGCTCCTGGGGCCGAGGTCTTTTTAGCCTGGAGAGAGCCTGACCTGGTTCCTACCATCCTGACCTTTTTAGGGTTGGGGAGAGCTGACTGTCACTAGGGTTTCTCTGGGTCTAGGGATGGTCATGGCTCATATCCTCCTGGGCTGACATGGGGTGTGAATTGGGTCTGGGGTCGCACCGCGCTGGGAGTGGTCTTGCTGGGGTCTCTCCCTTCTCGTGTGCCAGGAGCATGAGGACTGACTTGGTGCCTGTGGGGAGGGGACAGGGATGGCTCGGGGTGAGGGGAGCCCCGAGCTTGTCTACCCTCCGTGAGGACCTCCACCCCGCAGGTCCGTGGCTGTGGGTCGCCGTGGGCGGCGCTGCGGGGGGCGCGGCGCTACTGGCCGCTGGGGCCGGCCTGGCCTTCTACGTGCAGTCCACCGCCTGCAAGAAGGGCGAATACAACGTGCAAGAGGCCGAGAGCTCGGGCGAGGCCGTGTGTCTCAACGGCGCGGGAGGTGGCGCCGGTGGGGACACGGGAGCGGAAGGCGGACCCGAGGCGGGGGGCGCGGCCGAGTCGCCGGCGGGAGATGAGGTCTTCGCCATTCAGCTGACATCAGCCTGAGCCCGCTCCCCGCGGGCCCGGGGACACCCCCAGACGCACACGGGAGCTTATTTATTGCTCTATTTATTCATTTATTTATTCAACTCCAGGGTCGTCACCCCTATTTTTTACCCCCCCAATAAAGTTTTTATAACGGATTTTCTGTCTCTGCGATGTGGAACAAGCCCAGGGTTCGAATCCCGACCTCTCAGTGTGACCTGGAGTTTGCCTTCTGGTGCCCTGTTTCCTGCTCTCGCTTGGGCAGGGGTGGGGACCAGGAGCCTTCCTCCTCCCTGACTCATCTCTTCCGTCCACTGCTGCCCTCTGACCACCTAACTCTTAGAGGTGGGAGCTAGGTGCTTCACCCAAGCCTGGTTACTGGCAGAGCCTGAGCTGTCTTGCCAGGATGGGCGGAACCCCCTTGCTGGGGGGTGGGGGGCTGAGCCTTGGGCCCTGCCCTGAGACCTCACCAGGGTGGGTTAAAGGAGGTCAGTGGCTGCAGCTATGGGTGTCAACCCTCAGAATGTCTCTCCTGGTAGAGGGTGCACCCCTTCCCCACCCTCAATACCTCCTCGATCTGGTATCCCCCACCATGCCTCAGTTTACCCCCAATCTGCCTTCTGACTCGGCGCATCATGATTCAGACACACACAGGATAATCAGCTGCACGACACCATTCCCCGCATCCCCCGGCAGCATAAGGAGGGAACAGCTGGGCGTCCTCCCCCCAGCCTCCTCCTCCCTCAAAAGCAGGAACACAGAGCCCTAGAGAAGGAAGTCAGCCTGGACAGCTCCAAGCTCCATTGGCTGCCCCATGCAAACATTTAATGAGGAAAGATGAGAACAGGAAACAGGGCACAGGAAGGCAAGCCAGTGCTGGGTGCCAGGTACAGATGGTGACAAGGTACAAGCAAGGTGCAGCCCCTGATGCCCACCCTACATCTTTTCCGCCCATCTCCTACCCCCTTAATCATCTCTCTCCACTCCCACTATCCTTGAGATTTCTTGAAGCCCACAAAATCCTGGTCTCTATGCAAATGTCACCCTCTTAGGAAAATGTCACCTTCAGCCCCATGGCTAAGGTTGCCCCCCAACTGTTCTTTTTTGCAGCTGGCCAGTAGGTGGATCTGAACCCTTGACCTTGGTGTTATAACACAGCGCTCGCTCCAACTGAGCTACCTGGCAAGCCCACCCCCAACTCTTTATCTCCTTAAATACTCTTTAATTTTTCTCTGTAGCCTAGATCACTACTTAATATTCTATTAGACATTTAATTCTTTATTTCTTTATTGTCACTCTAGAATGTCATCCCCAATAGAGCAGGGATCTTTGTTCTATTCACCACCGAGGGTCCCCCTTGAGGTCTGGCACATAGTAGTTGTTCAATAAGTGAATAAATGGATAAAAACGGCCACGAGTTTGCAGATACACAGTCCCAGACCTTCATGGGGTCAATGTGTATCCCCAAAGAATTTCTCCATGCTGGGCACTGGGGAGACCTATCATGGTCAAGGCCATAGACTGGCCACGTAGGACCTGAGGAGCCATAATCCAGTGGGAGAGATAAATATGAAGAAACCAGGGGCCTAATAGAGAATTGACAATTCTGGTAGTTTCTTTCTTCTTTTCTTTTTTCTTTTCTTTTCTTTCTTTTTTTTTTTTTTTTTTTTTTTTTTTTTTTTTTTTTTTTTTTTTTTTTTTTGGCAGCTGGTCAGTACAGGCATCTGAAGCCATGACCTTCGTGTTATAAGGCTGCACTCTAACCAACTGAGCTAACTGGTCAGCCCTGGTAGGTTCTAAGAGAGAGACCAACAAGGAGCTGAACTAGAGCCTGACATGGGGTGGGAGTGAGGGTGTCTATTTTCTTTTCTTTTGGTGGCTGGCCAGTACAGGGATCAAACCCTTGACCTTGGTGTTATCGGCACCATGCTTTAACCAACTGAGCTAATCGGCCAGCCCATGAGGACGTCTATTTTAGACTGGGTGGTCAAGGAAGGCTTCTCTGAAGAGATGATGTTGGGGTTGAGCCTCCCCAAATGACAGGAAGGTGGCAGCCATGGGAGATGTAGGGGAGAGTGTTCTGGCAGAAGAAGGGTGAGACTGAATGATTCAGGGATCTTCCAGTGTGAGGAATCTGGACCCCAGGACTTCTCTCCCCTACGGGTTCACCCAGGAGAGACAAGGAGGGTCTCACAGGGGCATGTAGCTCTCTCTCCCCCTCAGCAGGTCCCATCCCCACCCTCACTGCATCCCATCTGTTCTTTTTTTGTTTTTTTTTTTTTGGTGGATGGCTGGTTTGGGGATCCGAACACTTGACCTTGGTGTTATCAGTACTACACTCTCTCAAGTGAGCTAACCGGCCAGCCCCCCAAGTATTCTTGGTTCTCCATCCCCCAGTGAGTGCAGGTGGCCTGTGTGTCCCGGCTGCCTAGGGTTGCCTGTGTCTGTCAGCATGCATGGTTTTCTGTCTGCACACGTGTCTGTCTTTCTATGTGTGTTTCTGTCACTGTGGGTGGTGGCTGTTTCCCTCTGTGGGACACTGGGCTAAATGTGGCTAATTCCCTGGGTGTCTGACTGTCGCTTGTACATATGACTGTGTCTGCCCCTCCTAACCCCAATGAGAAAACACCTGCCCCCACCTTCCCAGGCTGGGGTAGGGGCGCACGAGGTGGGATCCCCCAAACCACACTACTCTTTCTCTCTGGGCAGTTCTTTATTGTTATTGTTGTTACAATACGTTTACCACTTCTGAGAGCATTTCCGGAAGGGGGTTCAGCCAAGCCTGACTGAAGAAGGGGCCAAGCAGGGGACTGGTGAGCCCCCGAGACAGGGGTTCTGGGGCCTGAGAGCTGGGTCTCCCAGCTGGGACCCCTAAATGGGGAGGTGGGAGAGAGGAGGCAGGCTGATTCCCACTCTTCCTAGGAGGGCTTCTGTCCGTTCTCTGCCTGGAGAAACTGAAGCAGAACTGGTTTGGCTGGGTGAAGAAGGGCTTACCCTTCCTGAGCTGGGCCTTGGTGAGGGTCCAAGGACAACCCGCATCTGCCACAAAGTCTCTTGGGCTGGACACTTTTCCTGGGCACCAGCCAGCAGCTGGAGCAGCGGGTGCCGTATTTCTTGTACCTGGGGTGGGGGTACAAGAAACCACCATTCAGGATGCAAGAGAGGCCCAGAAACCACCATGAGGCAACCACTTTCTGCAAGAGGTGGGAGTTTTTCCTCCCCAACACCCCACACTGGCTAAGCATGGACTGATTTGGGGACCTCCACCCACACTCCCTCCTCCATTCTGAGGACCTGATACCACAGGCATTGCAGAGAGGGGTCCCATCTTCAGCATCTCTCCAGAGTGGGGTTCTCTGGGTCCTACAGGAGGCACAGCGCCGGGGACCTGAAGCATCAGAGGTCAAAAGGCAGGGGTCAGGGCTGGCTGGTTAACCCAGTTAGAGCGCAGTGTTATAACAGCAAGGTCAAGGGTTCAGATTCTGTACCAGCCAGTCGCCAAAAAAAAAAAAAAAAAAAAGGCAGGGGTCAGAGACCAAGTCTGAGCTCAGGAGGCCTGTGTGTGTGGGGGGTGTTTTTTTTTGGGGGGGGGTCTCTGTGAAGTCCTCACCTGGCTCTGGGCCAGCCCTGGGTGTTGCCAGATCTAAGACAGAGGGAAAGCTAGGAAGGGAAACAGATGGCAAACTTGGTAGAGGAGGAAGCTGGGGGTGGGCGTGACTAAGCCCGAGTGGAGGGGGGTGCCGTGACTCCTCCTGGACGAGTCTAAATGGGGAAGGAGGATGGGGAAAAGGGGACAGCGAGAAAGATAGAGACGACAGGAAATTGGCTCCCCCAAATATTTATAACTCTCAGGTCTTCAGGACTTACCCAGGGCCTCGCTGCCTTCAGGATGGGCTGCAGGGTCCCCGGCAGGGCCTGCGGGGGGTGTCTGAGATTAAGATAGAGACGACAGGAAATTGGCTCCCCCAAATATTTATAACTCTCAGGTCTTCAGGACTCACCCAGGGCCTCGCTGCCTTCAGGATGGGCTGCAGGGTCCCCGGCAGGGCCTGCGGGGGGTGTCTGAGAACGGCTGCTACTGGCCAGGCTGGAGAGTAGACAAGGCGTTAGCATTGGGGGATCTGTATCTTGTCCCTGAGAGCCCCCCAAAATGAAAATTTACTATCAAGGATCTGGCATCCCCCTGAGGAGGCAGCTCTGAATGTCTGAAAGGCCTCTCATCAGTAATATTATTATTATTATTTTACGAGGGCCTGGGGCCAGCCAGCCTGCCAGGTTCAAATCTCAGTGCTCTCACATCTTTGCTGTGCGACCCTGGACAAGTTATCACACCCTCTGGGCCTCAGTTCCCTCATCTTTAAAATGGGCCTCACAAGGCTTCAATGAGCCTATACACATGAAGAGCTGTCTGCTACCTTTTATTGCTGTCATCCTTACTGATAAATGGTAGCTATCATCACTTTTGGCAAAAATAACAGGAGCAGCAGCCCTCAGTACGGTCAGGCCTGATTCATAAAGAGGAAACCAAGTCTCAGACTGGGAGGTGACTGACTCAATAGCACAGGGCTGAGGTCCCCAGCAGAGACTGGGCCATCTGTAATGTGGGGCTGCTGTGGGAGTCCGTGAGCGGATGCCTGGGAGTGCCCATCCCCAGGCCTCTGTCCCCCACCAGTGGTGTTCTCATTATTACTTGTGTAAAGGGTGCCCTCACCCCATCCAGCCCCTACCTGTATATGGGTATGATCTGTAGGCTGGAATCCGGCTTTATATGAAACTTCAGAGTCACCCCCTCGAACCTGGGGTCCACTTTCTCGCTGCCTTGGCAGGGGTTCAGCTGCTTCCGGGGCCTTCTCTGGTGTGGGGCTGGGGGAGTCCCCGGGGGCTCCAGGCTGTGGCACTTCTGGCTGATTGGGGTCGGCATATTCTTGCAATCCCTGGCCCGAGGCAGGGGGCCCAGAATCCCCAGGGCCATGGGCTCCCAGCAGGGCTCCCAGGCCTGGGTGTCCTGGGCTGGGGGCTGAGCCAGCCTGTCTGCTCTCTCTTGGAGGAAGCACAGGGCAGTGACTGAGTCCTGGTATGAGGACCAGAAGGACCTGGAGGACAAGAGGCAGTGTGGTCACCCTCTTCCCTGGGTGACTCCTGGGTCCAGCAGGCCTGGGGGGAAGGCTCCAACCTGTGGCTGCTCTGTTACAGCTGTGTGTCCTCAGGCAGGTTACATGTCTGCCTGGGGCTCAGAATCACTCCTGATGCTGGGTTGTTTGAAGGTTTAAAAGTTGCAAAAATTTAATTGCCTACTGTGTGCGTCGTGCCAGGCCTCCTTCTCAGCCCTCCACATGGGTTAATCACTAATCCACCCAGCAGCTTACCCAGGCAAGGATTGCCCCAGGTGACCAAGCCAAGATTTCAAGCCTCTGGCTGCTGGATCAAGGAATAGCTTGCTATCATTATCATTATTATTACCCATAACCCCTGGATGACCCCTGGGTAGTGCCTACATGACCTCAGAGACATGGGGCAGTGTGGAACTGCATGGCCTCTGACCCCTAGATGACCCCAAGTGTCCCTAAGGGCCAGAACCTCTTCTTTGTAAATACCAGTAACTAACATTGCAACCCCTGGGTAACCCCAGGAACCAGAGATCATGACCCCTTGACCACCAGGCCAGGTTAAGTGTCAGAAGGCCTGGGAGGAGAGGCCGCGCATTACGCACCTGCTACCGGGTCTAAGGCACTCCGGGGTCCTCGTCTCCTGCCGGGCGGGGAGTCCCGTGGGCAGCTCAGAGTCCAGCCAAGGTGGCGCCAGTAGATCTGGCAGCATCGAGGAGGAATCCGAGGAGTCTGGAGTCGGCTCGGCCTCCATGGCGCCCCAGCCCAGCCCCCTCCCTGATCTCACCTGGCCCCACCCCCGCGGCCCACCGATGAGCCCCACCTGGGGTGGGGGCGGTGCTTCTCCAGAGGGTGCAATGAGCCCCACCTGCGTTGGGCGGGGCCGGCGGGGTCGCAGCACCCACGCCAGCCTCACTTCCTTCCTGCTCTCGGACTCTATTTAGGTCCCCTGCACACCACGGCTCGACCCTCCAAAATCCCTCCGCAGCTGCGGGGGCGGGGCCTTGTCTCTGGCCAACTTCCCTAGGAAGGTGCGTTCCTAGCCTCTGCCTCAGCTCCCGAGCACCCCATCACTGCAGTGGGCGGAGAGTTGGGGCCCCAGCAGAGGTGGTGGTAAGCCCGAGGTCTGCCCCCCAAGGACACTCGACATGCAGGAGGTCTGTAACACAGCTTTATTGCAGATCTGATTTAAGGTCCATCTCTATTCACATCCTGACTCCCAGGGTCTTGGGGGAGGCCACCCCAGTAGGGGCCCTGTCCCCACCAGAGCCTGGACACGGATCTCTCCCAAGCAGGGGCTTTGGCCTGCGCAGGTGCTTCTCCGTCTCTCTCGGGCTTGCCCGTGCTCTGGGCGGGGCTGGCAGCTTGGCTATTCCTTCAGTCCTGGCTCTAGGGCCACGGGCAGGCCCTGACAGTCCAGTTGCCCATGTCAGTGGGGCTTGGGGACATGGCCGTCCACGTAGAAGTTCCTGGTGATCTTGGGCAGGGTGAATTCAGCCCCTTCCAGCTCTGGCGTCAGCACGATCTGGCAGCCCAATCGCGAGTTCTCCTGGAGGAGGGGAGCCATGTCCAGCATGTCGTCTTCCCTGGGGCAACGAGGGTGGTAGTGAGCAGCGGGCACACTGGCCCGGTTGGTGGGGAGATGGGCAGCCCTCCCCTGCCATCCAGGTGGCCCTCTGGACAGTGGGAGTCCAGAGGTTCAGTGGCCAAGCCCTGCCATTCAGAGCTGGCTGGAGCTGTCCCACTCACCTCTCCTCAGGAGGGGGTAGGAGGTCCAGGTGATCTTCGCTCACATACACGTGGCAGGTGGAGCATGCCAGGGAGGCTTCACAGGCCCCTGCGGGCAGGAAGTGAAGGGGAGTCTCGGTGAGGGGCACAGCCAGGCAGGTGCCATGCGGCAAAGCGTGAAAAGAAGAAGCCCTTTGTCTCACTATGTGCCTGCACACCCCGTGTCCATTCTGCACCCTGTCATTTACTCAGCTAGCTGTTCCCGAGCTGCATACAGGCTTTACAAAGGGTTGTCCAGAGTGGCCCATTTCCCAAGGACTCCCCACCAGGCCAAGGACCTGGATGGGTACGTGGAACCATTAATGAGCACGGACTTGGCTTCAGGGTAGCTGACAGGAGAAAGGCCAGCCAGGTTCCCTGTAGCCTGTGAGCCCTTGCTGCGACCCTATCACTGTGCTGGGCAAATGCGTTCTCACCTCCCTGCTGCTCCTGAAGGAGGGGCTGGCTGATTCAGGACCCAGGGTGGTAGGGGAATCAGGGTTGAAAGACACAGAGGGACTGGCCGGTTAGCTCAGTTGGTTAGAGCACAGTGTTACAACACCAAAGTCCAGAGTTTGGATTCCCTTACTGGCCAGACACCGACCCTCTCAACCCCCGCAAAAAGAATGATACAGAACCTGGGGTTTTCTGTTGACCATTTGCCCTTGGACACATTCCCAAACCCTCTGATTGACCACTGTAGAAGTTCTTGGTGATCTTGGTGTCCCTCCTGGCCTAAAACTTTCCAAAGGATTTTCACACCTGGAATAAAACCCAAACTCCTCCACTCAGTCGTTGAGATTCCCCCCTGCCTCATTCACTCCACTTCAGCCACACTGGCCCCACCACAGGCCCTTTGCACTTGCTGTACCCATGGCCTGGAATGACTTTTCCACTCAATCCACAGCTGGATCCTTTTCATCTTTGGGACTCGACTCAACTGTCCCGATTCCCCCACCTCCTTTTCCTTGCCCCCTTGTTATCTCCTCCCGCCTTTAATTTTTATATAGCTGAGGCTGGCCCGTGGCTCACTCGGGAGTGTGTGGTGCCAACAACACCAAGTCAAGGGTTAAGATCCCCTTACCGGTAATCTTTTTTTAAAAAAATAATAATAATGATTTTTGTATAGCATTTATACAGCCTGAAGCAACCTTTTTTTGGCAGCTGGTTGGTACAGGGATCTGAACCCTTGACCGTGGTGTTATAACACTGTGCTCTAACCAACTGTGAAGCAACCATCTTAACCTCTGGGTTTACCTGTTCCCTGGCAAGCTGCCTTCCTCTCTCTGCACTCAGCCTGGCATGTTGTAGATGCTCAAGAAACATGTCATAAGTGCACAGGAGGATGTTAAGCTCAGAATTCTCTTCCCTCTTCCAGAAATGTCGGACAGTGAGGGTGGAGCTGAAAGGCAGCCTCCTGACCTAGCAGCCCCGTTTGCATTCAAATGTCTCTGTGATCTGCCTATGCTAGCTCCTGGGGAGAAACAGTCTGGGCCTTGAAACTCCAAATACCGTAGGCCCTAGGCATCTCTTCCTCGTGCTGTTTCCCACCTTCTTAGCATCTTCATCATGTAAGAATGAGATGATCAGCCTGGCCCATTAGCTCATTTGATCAGAGTGCAGCCTTATAACACCAAGGTCAAGGGTTTGGTTCCCTATACTGACCAGCCACCAAAAAAAAATAAAAAGATTGAGATGACCTCAGTTGGTTAGAGTGTAGTGCTGATAACACCATGATCAGTGGTTCAGACCCCCATACCAGCAAGCTGCCCCCAAAAAACCCACCAAAAACAACAACAACAACAAAAGAAACCAAACACACAAAAGAACAAACAAAAGAAAAACTGAGATCATCCAGTATAATAATCCCAACTATTCACTAACCACATGCCAGACACTAGGCACTACTAAACATTGTTTAATCCTCACAGCAACCCAGTGATACAGGAACTAAATTATTCCCATTTTATAGATGAGGAAACAGAGGCCCAGAAAAGCTAAGTACCTTATTCAGGGTCACACAGCTGATAAGAGGCAAAATTTGAACATAGGGCCCTTGCCTTTATAGTTCAGGTCTACTTAACCTGGGGTTTAGTTTCCTCATCTATGAAATGGAATAACGGTCTCCCCTACTGAATAAAGTTGTCATGAAGATTCAATCAGTTAATATGTATTAACATGCTTAAAGTAATTTCTGCTATTATTATTTTTCGAAAAAAATTAAGCTCTGCTAAATTTAAAATTATTATCTTTCCTTCAACAAACATTGACATAATGCCTGTTACGTCTAAGTACCATCATAGGCAACAGACAGGTGAACAGGTGAACAAGGCTCTCTGATCTCACTGGGGTACAAATGACAAAGAAGGAAACAAAACAGGGAGAAGTGTGATGAAGACAATAACACACACTAATATGATAGAGGGACTGGGGTGTGGGGGATTTAGCTGGTTAGAGGGGAAAGGGACTGTCAGAGAGACTGACATATATTGAGGAGGAAATAGAGTATTTGCTGGGCAAGCACATCAGACAGAAGGATCAGCAAATGCAAACGTCCTGAGGCAAGAATGAGCCTTTGGATATTTGAGGAACAGCAAGAGAGCCAGTGTGGCTAGAATACAGAGAGGAAAGGGGAAGGAGGGCAGGAGTTCCAGTGGCTTCTAATAAATGCTCAGTAAGTAAGAGCTGAGCAAGGGATGAGACCAGGGTGAGGAGTTTGGATTTTAGTCCATATTTAGTGGGAAGCCATGAGTGGGTTAAGCAGTGCAGAGACTTATCTAGTTTGTGTTTTTTTGGACGAATGGATAAGGGCCTCCCCAGTTCCCTGTGTCCAGCTCCTACCTTCCAAGTCCACCCCATGGCGCTGGGCCAGGTGGAGAACATTGTCCCCAACTCTGCCGCTCACTGGGATCCGCTGGCCAGACCGGTCTACGAACACCACATTCACCCTAGGGGCAGATGGAGGTAAGGATGCCGAACTGGACGGGCGCAGGAGCCGGGTAGAATCTAGGGTCAGGAAGTCGCGGTTGGGGCTTAACGGACAGGGATTGAATAGGGCGAGACAGAAAGGGGACCTTGGGATGTGGCTGCAAGGCAAGGCGGAGAAAGGAGCAACGTCGTGGGACGAGGAACGGGGGACTTAGCCTCCTGCACTCACACATCCTCGGGCCGCTCAGGGCCCCCGGCCTCCTCCTCTCCCGCCGGGCGTGAGCCTGGAAAACACGGTTCGGTGAGCGGCTGCACCCCGCCCTGCCGGCGTTCGACGGGTTAATGATGCCCACCCCAGACATCCCGGGTACCTGTCACCCGGAATTTCCTCGTTGTCGCTGGCCCCGCTGCCTCCTCGGACCCCGAACAACCCCCTGGTCCGCTCCACCAGGAGCCGCTAGCAGCCTGCAACAGGACCCTGGCTTTCACGCCTCCCCGGACCACGGAAGCGGCCATGACAGGCACCACGTGACCCAGCGACCGAGCATGCGCCTTGCCGGCCACGGGAGCAAAGCGTAAATACTCGAATATAAGCGCCCTCTATTCATGGGGCCTGAGGCTGCAAGGAATCCACTGGGAACTTCTAGAGTGGGAAAGCTTGGTGAAAGGTCCGGTGCACAGAAACCTGCGTGGCCTTCCCAAACCTCCCACCTAGGCCCATTGTTTGTCCCAAGAACCAGCCAGTTCTGATTTCTTTAAAACCATTTACTTACAAACTTTAATTCAGCAAAGGTCTGTGTGGGAAGATCAGGGATAGGACACCCCCTGGAGTGGATGCGGCCCGAGTCAGGAGAGGGAAGCTGGTGGCCCAGTTAGCCCGGGGCAGGGCCTAGGCGCACCTCAGGTCGACAGGTCCTGCCAGTAGGCAAGTGCAGAGCTTATCTGCATGGAGTTGTCATTCCCAGCACTGGGCCAAAAGGAGGCCGGCTCCCAGTGATCTGGCCTGGGGATGGAGAGGCGGAG